TGGTTAATTGATGCTATCATAAAGAGAGCACTGTTCAATCTTGTGCATATTTGCTTTTTCAGACTCCTATGCTGTCTTTTTACAAAATTATCATCAAATTTTTCTTAACAAGCATTATCTAAATTATTTGCTTCAATCATGTTTGCTTCATCATAAATTTGAATTGGAAATTGCTGCTCTAAATCATCAATGTCTTTCACTTCAGCAAAAATTTGAAGATTGTTATATAATTTTATGTCTGCTTCAAGATACATCTAAAAGTAAAGTTGACTTGAAGTTCAGGCAGGTTACAATTTTTCTGCATTTTTTTAACAAACATTTTGTTTCAGTACAATTATTTATGCCATCACATGTCAATATTAAATGCAAGATATGAGCCAGACAATGTTATGGATTCTTTGAGCCTAAAAGTCTAGAGGTTTTCATCATATTCGCTACACCGTCATGCACAGTATGTAGCCTCATATCTCTACAACGCCTCTGAAAAAATTCTTGAACAATGTCTTCGATAAAATTATGACAATTTTTACCTGTATGACTTTCTAAAGGCAAACAAGGTAAAAAAATTTTTATGCCAGTTTTTATTAATAATGGAACACTTCAGACGCATATAATTAATTTTTTTGTTCTTGTCAGTCCATCTATCAAATAAAATTTTTGCTGCATCAATATCTTTTAAACTTTCCAATACAGATAGTTTTAAAGATTTGTACATATCAGGTAATGCTACTGGACTCACAGCAGAACCTGTGGGAAGTTTTAATCCAATGTTTTTTCAAAAAACTTTTTTAATCCTTCATTATCAACATGAGAAAATGGTGGTAGATCTGTAGAAAACCAAACGACAAGATCACGATTTAAATCATATATTGATGAACTAGCTATAGAGCTACTGCATCATCTACGTAAGAGTTGATCATTTTTTACTTCCACGGCAGGTTTGTCTGTTAATATTTTGTGAACAAGAAATAGATGATTTTTCATATTACTACTTGATGTGGAAACCCTAACTTTGTGAATTTTCGATAAATGACCTGCACCTGAGGACTCCTCTTTTATTTTTCTATTAAAAAACATTTACTACAGTAATAATGTTCCTCGTCGAGAACTTTACAATTTTGTTTCAATATTTGACCATAGTATTTCCAGACTAATGATGAATCTGTGGTTGTTTTTTTAAATGAACTTCAAAGTCTAATGTACTAGTATTTTAAAGAACTGTTATGTGAAATACGAAATTCTTTTTGATTCATTACTAAGTAATACAAACTCTGTTTGTGTTCAATTCGGTTAGTTTATGTTGAAAAATGTTAAAGTGATAAAAAATCTTTAAAAGCCAAGAATATTTAAAATATAAAAGAGGTGGCGGACGTTGATGTACTTGTATAAAAAAGGAGTGCATTAATATTTCATCTCAGAGAATTTAAATAATAAATCGAAAAGGTGCACACACAAAAAAATGATGCTCTAAATAACTTCCTGCTTATAAGTTATAAGTTATATAAGTTGCTGCTTATAACTTATAAGTTATACAAGAGAACTTTGGGTTATTAAACTCTTCTTTTTTTTTCTTGCAGCCAACAATAGTGACTTTGAAATCGGCTGTGGCTGAATATATTGTTCGATTGCCGGCTTAGTAGTTGCTAATAACACAAAGTGGCGGTTGTAAAAATTAGGTACAAAAGGTGGCGGCTTCTTACTAATGGCGGCGGCTTTGACCTCTAGAAACTCTCAATAACCATTAACTTCCTTTATTTCTAGAGAGTTGTTTATTGACTTGGTTTCAGAAGCTTTTAGCATACTTTCCTCAGCAGCAATTTTGTATACCAATATTACACTTTTATTTAACTTATTAAAGCTATTAGGCGACAAATAATAAATGTTCATACAGAAATAGTTTTCATCCGTTTTAAGAAGAAATAGTTTTCATCCATTTATGACCAGCACCTATTTCAACTTGCAATCCAATGACAGCTTGCAGGTTGATCTCATATGGTAGGTATGTTATATGAAATTTTTAAATTCATTAATTTATAGATTGTTATATATTATTGGAAGGAGCTCTTATGCAGTATTTTAAAGGTGAAAAAGTTATAAAAGTTGTACAACTCTACCAAAAGTTATTAAGTAACAAATTTTGCGTATACTACAACTACAGACTGATCTCTGTTCTTAATTGTTTTTCAAAGATTTTGGAGCGTATAATGTATAATAGACTTTATTCTTTCTTAAATGTAAATAATATTCTTTACAATAAACAATTCGGGTTTAAATCCGGTCATTCGACCGATCACGCAATAATTAATCTTGTGCATGAAATTTTTAAAGCGTTTGATGAAAAAAAATTTACTTTAGGTGTCTTTAATAATCTGAGCAAAGCGTTTGATACCGTAGATCATAATATTCTTCTTTATAAACTTAAAAATTATGGTATCATAAATTCTAACTTAGGCTGGTTTAAGAGTTATTTAAAGAATAGGAAACAATGCATTTTATATGATGGCGAGAAAACAGACTTGATGACAATTACCTGCGGAGTCCCCCAAGGATCAATTCTAGGACCGCTTTTATTTCTCATTTATATAAATGATTTGAGTAAATTTTCCAATATCTTAAATTCAATTTTATTTGCTGACGATACTAACATATTTTATTCAAATAAAGATATTAATTTTTTATTTACAACAGTGAACGAGGAGCTTGTGAAACTAAGCGAATGGTTTATATCAAATAAATTGTCCATAAATATTAAAAAAACAAAATATACTTTCTTCCATCGTCTTCATGATAAAGACAACATACCCTTACAACTTCCTAAGCTTTTTATTAATAACTCTTATGTCAAAAGAGAGAGTTCTTTGTTGTTTCTAGGCGTTGTTTTAGATGAAAACGTAACATGGAAGGAGCACATACGAATAATCCAAAATAAAATTTCGAAAAATATAGGCCTTTTATGCAAAGCAAAACAGTTGTTGAACCAAACTTGTTTGAAACTTATTTACTTTTCTTTTATTCATTGCTATCTAAATTACGCTAACGTTGCTTGGTGCAGCACTAATGCATCTAAAAATAAAGGGCTTCTAATTAAACAAAAACACGCTCTAAGAATTATTGGAAATGTGAATCGCTTTTCGCACACTAAATTACTTTTTAATAAATTCAAAATACTTAACGTATTTCAACTTAACCTATATCATATTTTTATATTTATGTTCAAAGTAGATAATAAAATGGCACCCATTTTATTTAATTCATTTTTCGAAAAAATAAATCATTTATACCCAACAAGATTTTCAAACAACAGTTATATTCAACCAAAAAAATATTATTCTGCGACTAGGTTCTCGATAGCAATCAGAGGACCTAAATTATGGAACACCCTATTGGATAAAAAAATTTCTTTCCTTGTTTTCCTTTATTTAAATTCCTTTATTTAAAATAAAAATAAAAAGTAAACTTTTGATAATTGACAATGAACTTGACTTCTTCTGAAACTTTTAAATAGGAGTAATCACTTGTTTTTTACTTGATATTTAATTTATTTTTAACATATTAATTTTTGATTTTAATTTGAATCTTTACCTTCTTAAATTATCATGTTTTATCTCATTTTTATTTACTATTAAAATTTGAAATCCTAATAAAAAAAAAAATTAAAAAAAAATATTAAATTTTAATGAAAAATATTTAGATATTTGTATTTATATATGTACCTTACGCATATATTATATTGTGATAACGGATTTTTTTTGGTTTTTTGTTTTGTTTGTTACTTATATTCTTGTTTGAAGGGGCTTGGCGATAAGACTGAATTTGTCTTCTTCTTGCCCCAGCCGTGTATATACAGTTTTTAAAGTCTAATTTTGTAAATATTTTCTTTATGGCGAAATATATATTATATTATATTATATTATCACTATATGAATTTTTTGAGGAAGCTGTGGTCAAAATTAAATTTTTCTCAACGTAAATTATTACAACTATTAGAAGTGAATTTTTTTAATTATAAATATGAGAGATGTATTTTTTGAGTTAAAGGTGGATGGTGGTGTGATGGCAGGGGCGGGCTTTGTCACTCGCCAAGGAGGGGGCTAAAAAGATCTTAAAAAAAAAGGTCCGCATATTTTCGTTTATGAGTAACTTTCTCTTTTAATTTTTTATACTTTAGTGTAATAATCAAGTTCATATACGTATAGTTACTAATAATTGGCGATTTCATTCGTCAGTATAATAGTTTAATAGTAAATTTACAAAATAATATTTCTGAAAAAAAATCTCTAGGGGGAGGGGCTACTACCCCATGCCCCCTCCCCCACTTAAAAACCGATGGTTTTAAGTGATGATGGTGATGGCTTCACAGCCTATTATCAAAATGACTAATATAAATATCTTTATTTTTATTAAAATCTAATATAAAATACAAAAATTATATTTCACTTCTTTACAAAATAAAAAGATGTTAAAAGAGTTCAAACCATTATTTCATCGTGTGCGTATGACTAATAAAAAGCTGTGAAGGGATAAAACAATCAGAAGTTGTGAAGAAAATGAACGAACAATTAAATAAATCTAATGTCTTCAAAGTTATAACAGATCTTCAAACAAATGGTTTTTGGAAAAAATATTTTTTAAAAAACGAATTGTTTGAAAGCAAAAAAAATTGTAAATGCAGTTGATTGTAAGTTGCGATGTAATCCAAACTGCTTAACGTCTAAGCTTGCCAGAGAAGCCGCAACATTAATACAATCGATGAAAAAACTTATTCATGAAAATTGAGATCTGAAGAGTTTTGTAAAAAGCAAACGACAACTACGACAAGCAAAAGTGAAGCGAAAAGAGAAAATAAACCTGCAGCTTAAACATAACCCAATTGGGTTCGAAAGACGTTTGGGATTATATTCAGTGGTTAGCATACAATTGAATCAGATTTAACAAAGGATTTTCAGTTTCCATTTTAGTACATTTTATGATTTTATTAACACAACAAACACAAATAAGCATTCTTGAAGAGAAACGATCTCTTTGTTTGTTTGACATTTCTAGTATATTAACTATGTTAGTTTCAATACAAATAAAATCGATAGATATATTATATATTACTAATACATATTTTATTTTTCTGCAACTCAAAATAATGCGGCATACTTTCAGCTACGCTTTCTTTTACTTCAGAAGGATATTCATTAAGATCTTCAAATATTGCTAATGATTTTCTGCAACGCACCTCGAACCCAGTACTTTTTAATGCGTTTTCATGCCAACCATTCCACACGTTCCAATCAGGATTTGAAGTAGGTTCCCAATGAAGTATGTTTTCATTGAAAGGAAGCCCAGTTTCGCTGCAGTATCCTAGAATTAATATCGTTAAAGAGCATTACAAACTCTGTACGAAGATAAAGCTACAATTTGATGTAGCATGTTTTATCTTGGATTGATTTTAAAGATTTTATATCTGCTACTCTTTTGTCAGTTTTCTCAGCATATTAACATAAATATTTTACTTAAAATTTACTTCAACCTGAATAGAGCGTTGAAAAATTTCAAAAATAGTTTTTAATAAAAACCATTTACATATAATTCAAATCATTTATTAAAATACAAAAACTTTTTTTTAGAAAAGATTACGCTAAAGTTTATCTGCAATAGAATTTATTCTTTTGAAAAAAATAACCATCCCTTGCTTAAAAAAGAAAATAAATTTAAATGCATTTGAAACATTATTACAAAATGTTCGGTGTTCAAAACAGATAAATTTTATTACGTTCATAATAAGGAAGATGTAAAATACGATCCTAAAAAAGAGAGAAGTCGCCTTAATTTTTTTATGGTATAGTTTCTAAACTTAATAATATTTTTTAACAAAATTTAAAATACTGGAATAATTTTTATCAAATTTAAGATCTTTGAATTTAAAATTTGAAAAACTAAACTTATTCATATACAAATGTTTTGGCAAAATATGTTTATATGATGTAAGTAAGTTACTTAACTCGATTAATAACTGAAATAATATTTTATATTAATATTAGCTGAAAATGTTTAAAATTATAAAAACAACTTAAACTATACATATGTATATATATATATATATATATATATATATATATATATATATATATATATATATATATATATATATATATATATATATATATATATATATATATTTGTACACATATTATAATCTTTACTAACTTTCCATGGTTCGCGCGGGGTTGGCCTGCAGATCGTCAGAATTGATAATTATTGGATTTTGATCAAGTTTTTCTTTAACAAAACAGTATAAATCGTGCATTTGCTTGAATCCAGCTTCTGTTTTATCAAAGTACGTCCATCCAGTGAGCTCAACATTAACCGAAGCTTTGTATAGACTTGGTATACTTTTTCGAGGGTTTCTAATCAGAAAGGTATGTTGAAAATTTCGTAGATCTTTATGTAGGAGTATTTCAAAATGGTTTTCAATTGCATATGCCATATCTTTTGAAAATATATAATCAATACCGTCGTACTCTTTGGTGATAAGCTTTTCCATTTCTTTGTAAGATGAGTTTAGTTGGATTGCTTGATTCTGATAACGCGGGCTCTGCCGTTCCGGACCAAAATGATAGCTCCTCGAAAAAGGTTCATGAAAAACTTTACAGTCTTTAATTTCCATTATAGATCTCTCAAATGCTGTTGAAATGCATCTTGGAGCTGTCCATAAGAATATTTGTTTTACCATTATGCATAACAAACAAATTGTTTAATTAAAGGAAACTGTGTACGAAAAAAAAAATCTGACGAAATAGAAATTTTATCGTTGATAAGATGAAGGTAACATTGACAAATAACCTTAATTTTTTTTTTACTTAAATTTTCAATTATAAATTTAAATATGAGTTACAAATCCTTTTTTTTTTCCCAACATATTTTTATATTTACTATAAAAGCATGTTCATAAGTTTACTTGCTCGAAAAAATGAAAAAAAAATGAAGGCAATTACAAAAGTACAAATATACAATACAAATATACGCTACAATTTGATGGAAAAAAGATCTCTTGTTAAAAGGAATTTGAAACATAAAAGAAATTAACTAAATTTTGACACAGAAATTTACATGTTTTAGAAATTTACATGTTGATTAATTTAAGGTAAAATATAAATTAGCAAATTAATTTTAAGGTTAGTACAACAGAGTAGGTTATAACCAAGTTTTGTCGTAATCAAGTTTTTTTTGCCAAAATTACTTTTCCTGTGTTAAGAACTCCGATTTTCGATATTAAGCATATAACTGAGAATTTTAAATTTAAAATTTACCTATGACAAACTATAATTAAACATTGAAATAAATCATGTTAAAGTTAAACCATGAATAATATTAAAAATATTATCAAATTCAATAACAATTCACTTAAAACTAAAGAGAATGAAACTAAATGCAGAAATAATATCAATTATATAAAGTAGTAGTTATATAAAATTAGACGTTTACTCTTGTTCATTAAATTAACCATTACACTGGTTGTGTATGTGTGTGTGTGTGTGTGTGTGTGTGTGTGTGTTTGTGTACAAATATACATATACAAATAAACGTTTAATTCTAACGTTTATGTTGTCAAAACATTTATATATATAGAATTATTGTTTTAAATTAAAAAAACTAAATGAAAAAACGCCTTTATGTTTTTGCATATTACCTTTTACCCTTTAATATTAGTTACGTTCGAAATATATACTTTTTTAGAAGGATTCTTTTATTTAAAAATAATGCTTTATAAATTTTCCTCAAACATACAATGCGTTAGTAAATTTAATGAGTAAAAAAAGTTAATTCATGGGGTTATAAAAGGGAACGAAGAGGAGACTGTAACAGTTGTAATCAAAGTACTGTTTTTTGATCATGAAAAATTAATTTTATCGAACTTAAAGACAAAAGATATCGTACAATAAGTCCGTAAAGTTTTATTGTTTTTTAACAAACCTTTAAATCGTTTTAATTTGTTTGATGATCAATTTTTTCATGAATATTTATAAAGACTACTTAGATGTTGTTGTTTTTTTTTAATTTTTTGTATTTTAATGTTATATTTTATATTAATATTTTAGATGACTTAACTGATTTAACAAATAATTTATTATTCAATTTAAACTTTTAGTTACACTAAAATATGCTTGAAAGTTTTTTTAAAAAAAGTTTAACAAAATTTTAGAGAAAATTTAACCAAAAAGAGCTAAAAAACTTTTACAACTTTAATTTAAATATCTTAAAATACAGGTTTTTAAACTAAATGTTAATATAATTTTTTCCAATTAAAAAAAAAAAAAATATGTATATATATATTCGTATTTTTTTACAGACGGAACCAACTTAGGTTTTTTTTTGACCTTCTTAAACTGTTAGCTAAGCGTCGCTGTTTTTTTATTGTTCTACTATTTAAAAATAAACAACTCAATCAATAGCTGGCGCTGAGGCTTTTCCTCATTTTTCTAAATGCAACCCGTATAAGCTAAATAATAAAGTAAAAAATAATTATAAATGTGTGTATATATATATATATATATATATATATATATATATATATATATATATATATATATATATATATATATATATATATATATATATATATATATATTTATATATATATATATATATATATATATATATATATATATATATATATATATATGTATATATATATATATATATATATATATATATATATATATATATATATATATATATATATATATATATATACATGTATGTCTGTATACGTGGATGCGAAGAGCCAAAAAGACCCCAGATTTATATTTCTATTTTTTATTGGTCTCTGTTGTTCAGAAGCTCTAAACATGTTAGTTGACTAATGATCTGCTTTAAGAAAAATATTCATGAGGTTTAATGGCTTCTTTTAACTATTCAACGTTTAATAAACTAAGACGTTAAAGTTAGAAAAAAAATCAATTTTTGAACCCGGAGTCTTTAGGTATAATAGCAGCAAGGACTCCGGGAGTCGAGAAGAAGTTCCTGAAATTTATGAGGTTTAAACCTCATAAATTTCAGGAACTTCTTCTCGAACTTCTTCAGGAACTTCTTCTCTTCTAATATTAAAAAAAAAAGATTAATAAAAAAAAAAAAAAATATCATAAATTTTCAACAAGGTAAAAATATTAAAAAAAGCGAGTAATCATAAATTTACATAGGGTAAGGTTGCCAGTATTGTATCGACGCCTAAATTGTACTTTTGCTTTATCTAGCTATTTTTACGACCCAAATAATATCTTATGACTAAAATTTTATCTTTGCTAAGTTGAATTGATAAATCTTTTTTTTTTTGTGAAATGAAACTAGATTCTGGCAACATTTACTTTTTGTTGATATTATAACAAAGTTTTCTTATTTTATGGGTTCAATGTTTAGAGTATTACTTTAAACATGTTAAATATTTGTCTTTTTTATCATATTTATGTGAAAGCACAATTTATGTGAATTCAAAATAACTTTTAAAAAATTAAAATACAGTAACATTTGTTGTCTAATTTTATTATAAACATAAAGTGAGTCTAGTTGCGTATTTTGTACCTTACTGAAGGCCTTAAATTGTACCAAGGCTGCCATTTTGAATTTTGAATATTTGTAATTTTTATTAAGAATAAAGATTTTCTGTTTTGTATTACTAATATAATTTACAGGTACCAAAATTCTAACTACCGCATTAACAAGTTACACATTCAATAAAGTTATACCTTATTGATGATGACAAAACTTTTTTACATTGCTTGGCATAGAAAAAGATCTTTACCAAAATCATTAAAAACGTACTCTAAATTAGCATTGTATTTGTAAAATCAAGATAAAGGTAAAATATTAGATTATAATGGTACGATTTTTTAATTGTACCGATAGCATGTTTTTTAAAATTTAATTCCCTATCAGCAATTCACCAACGTTTAAATTTTTGAATATTTCAACTTTTTTAGAACAATTTATCCCCAAAATATAAAATACAATAAAGCCTCATTGTTTCTGCTTTGTATTTTTTTCTCTATTTTTGACTTTATTTTTAGAGGGTACGATATCGGCAACCTTACCCTACCTTTAATGTAAAGTAAAAAAGTTAAACCTATATTATTTGGAAAAATTCTTACCAAAACACCTTTATATAATTTAAATATCGGGTGGACACGGAAAATCCGGTCATTTTTAAATTGAGATTTCTCCAAAACCACAAAGCTTTTTATTTAATTTTTTTTTTTAATTAAACCTTACTTCCTTATCTAAAATGGTGTTGATAAATTTTTGTTTACAAATTAATGATTTGCAAAATGTTTTGGAAACAAGTTGAGGTGCGTAAAAATGTTGTGAACTTTTTTTGAAAAATCCATCGACCTCCTATCGCTTGATTGCTAAACGCACAAATGTACCAAAATCTACAGTCATAGATAAGCAACATCAAGACTACTCAAAGCTTCGAAAGAAAACTTGGAAGTGGAAGAAAAAAGACTTTCCATAAATCCAAAAAGGTAAAGTTGATTTTACGTTCAATAGCAAAAAATCCAAATCAGTCACAGCGAGATCTAGCAAGAAAATTTAAGACTTCTCGTTTTTATAATCAAAAAGTACTTAAAAATGCTGGAATTAAAGCGTTTCATAAAAAAAATACACCTAAGAGAAGCTTAAATTGTGAAATTAAAGGAATTCGACGCGCAAAGAAGTTGGTTAAAATAATGGCGGATAAAAATATGTGCATAATTGAAGACGACGAAACGTATTGTATTGCGGATTTTTCACAACTTCCTGGTCAACAGTTTTACTATGAAAACAAAGATAAACCTGTCGATGATCAATTTAAATATATTCGACGAGAAAAATTTGCATCCAAGTTCCTTGTGTGGCAACCAATTTGTAGCTGTGGTATGCAGTCCTCTTGTTTTGTCACTAAAAAGACTTTGACTGCCAATCTCTACATCAAAGAATGCCCCCCAAAAAAAATTTTGCCTTTTATAAAAAAACACAAATACCGATGTCTCTTTTGACCCGATCTTGCTGCCTCTCACTATTCTTAAAAAGTTTTACAGTGGTGGAAAGATAATAATGTGAAAATTGTTCCTAAAGATGCGAATCCTCTAAATCGTCCTGAAGAGCGCAAGATTCAAGATTTTTGGGCAATAGTTAAAGGAGTTCTTCGTAAGACAGGTAGACTAACAAATAATAAAAAGGACTTCCAAAAAAAGTGGATTAATGCCACCAATATGGTGAAAAAAGAAAAAATCTGTAAAATGATGGCATCAACCCGCTATAAAGTTCGATTTCTTGCCAAGCAACCCATCAAGCCCTTAAAATTAAGTTGAAACTCTAATTTATGTAAACACATTTAATGATAAAAAAATTGAAATAAAAAGCATTTATGGTTTTAGAGAAATCTCAATTTAAAGTTGACCGGATTTTTCCGTGTCCACCCGATATGTTAACAAATAAATATCTTTAGATGAATTTTGGTACCCCTTGAAATACCATTTAAAAGGATTCCGAAATAACCCGTCCGTTATATATATATATATATATATATATATATATATATATATATATATATATATATATATATATATATATATATATATATATATATATATATATATATATATATATATATATATATATATATATATATATACATATATATATATAAGCACAAAAATTTCTAAAAACATGGGCATCCTATATAAATCACGAATTTATCTCAATAAGAAAGTCTTAATCCAACTTTATTATTCATTCATACATAGTTATTTAAATTATGCCAATATTGCTTGGGGAAGTACAGAAAAAAGTAAGTTGCAACGTCTTTATCTCCGTCAGAAACGCCCAATCCGTATAATCAATTTTGCAAATCGCTTCTCTCATTCGAAGCATTATTTTATTGAAATGAAAATTCTGAATATTTACGAATTAAATGTATTTAATATTTTATGTTTTGTGGATATATAACTTATCCCTAGCCGTATTCAATGATTTTTTCTCTTTTAAACCAGTCAGTAAATATATTTTGAAGAAATAATAACTTCTTAAATGAACCTTTCTGTCAAACAAACTTTAATCAATTTTGTATTACCTATCGAGCGCCACACTTTTGGAATAAAATAGTTTTGGTGAATTTTAAATTTAAAGTACCTATTACTTTTTGCCTTTTTTTTTTTTTAACTGAAAAACCTCATTCTTTTATTAAATAATATATTGAGTTATTATTAGTAGTAAAAGTTAAAAATATATTTTGGTCTATTTTTTTTTATTTATAGAAGTTTTATATTTATAGAAGTTTATTCCTACTTATTTTATTTATTGTTCTTATACTTTTTGGTTTTTAATTTATATGTTAATTTAATTTTGTATAAAAATCTGATGAGAAGATCCTCCCCAGTTAACCAACCCAACTTTTTCCCAGCTGGGATTGACTGGGATTGAACTGGGATTACTGGGATTGGGTTCGGGCTGGGATTTGTTCTGGGTGACGGATGGTTCCCATGGTCATATGGTGTAAAAATAATGCCGCAAATAAAATCTGGGTATTTACCAGGATTGGCATGGGGCTTCCATATAAGGTTTACGGCTGGTTTGAAGATGAAACTCGTCGTTTAATGGTAGCGTGTAATTTCTCATCAAAGCAGTATTTTTAGCATCGTTTTTATTGAAAAGTTTTGTTGAAATAACTCTTTTAAAATGTCATATGCAGTAACGCGGCTTGATTTAGATTTAATATATTTTTATTGTATTTTTGTAAAAAATACTTACATACCAGTTTTAATTCTATACTAAAAGTGTAAATATGTTAAAATCAATATTTAGTCATACATTTAAAAAACTATTTCACACGCTAAAAAAAAGAAAATATGACTTATATATCTGAGAAATATTTGAGAAATGAAATTTTATACTGAAATTCAGACTGAATTTCTGAGCTATTAGTAAGTTTGAGATACGTTAACGTTTACTTTTTTTTTAGAATTGTTAAATTTTTTATTGAACTGAAGGTATATTCTGTAATTATGCAATGAACAAATGTTGAAATTTTTAAAAAATAGTTTATATGGTTTTGTGTGCTTATAGTAATGGCATAGTGTGTTAAGTTTTAATTTTTTTTCAAACAAATCTCATAGACTTTTTGAAAAACCTTTGAATTTGCTATGTTTTGTAAAATGACTTAAGCAAATTTTTATTACAAAAATAGCAAAGTTTTACTATGTAGCACTGCAGTATGTAAACTTTACATATTATTCATTTTCACATAAATCATTTAATAAATGGTTTATGTTTTTATAAATAATAAGTTTTACATACTTATGAAAAAAATTAAAATCATGCATTTATTAAGTGTAAGATTTTACATATTTTATAAGTAATAATATTACTTATAAAATATGTAAAATCTTACACTTAATAAATGCATGATTTTAATTTTTATATTACTAACATAAATAGTATATTTCTCATAGTATAAGTAATATATTATCAAATATATAACTTATAGAAAATGTTAAATCTTACATTTATTTTATGCATTTACAAGTGATATCTAAATTTTTATATCAATCAATCAATATATATTTCTGAAATATTTGGTATTACATTTCAAGGTTGTTTACAAATAATACAAACTAATAATATTATGTAAACACATAATGATAATGATTAAAATAGTAATGGTAATAATAATAAAAATATTATTCATAACAATAATAAGATGTTATTTTAACAATAGTATTAATAATATAGTAATTAAAATAATTTAAATAAATCGGTATAATTTTCCATACAACAATCGTTCTTACATACAAAGTTACATTTACAAACAGTAATAAACTGACAAAATATAACAACTAGCGATAACATTACCACTGCTAAAAAAAAATTATAAAGATTTAGTAAATATATTTTTCTTATAATATAATAATCGAAATATATTGAAAATAATATGAAAATGTAAATAAATAAAATATAAACAGAAAAACACTGAGAAAATCAAAACAAAACAAAAGCTACAACAAACATTACAAGCAAAACAAAATATTACATTAAGTTCTTTTGGCAATAACAAAAAAACAACATTAACAACAAGAAGAAAACAACAACTAAATTAAAAATAAATTTAAAAAAACAAAAAATAATACTAATAAATAGTAGAATAAAAGATATATAATAAATGGTTAAAAAGAAAATAAAAACAAAAGTTATATAACACTATAACAAATTAGATATCACTATTTAAAAATAATTAATGACTAAAAAATAAAACAATGACTTACAAAAAATAATAAGTAAATTTTTATAAATGTCACTTAGTAAAACCTCACTAATAGTAATATTATCAAACATTAATTTATAAAACATAGTAATACTATGTTTTGTAAAGTGATAAAATTTATAATTTGAGTTAAATTATAAATATTATAACTTAAATTTTAATTTGTAGCATAAGGTTCTATATGAAAAATATTTAAATAATTTATATTGCGTATTGTTTGCAAATAAAAGTATTTAATAATAAAAAGGATAAACTGCCCGGTTAACCACAACAACTAGGTCCCAGCTGGGATGTAACTCGATTATTGGAACTAAGTTATGTCTGGGATTTGAACTGGGTTAAAGATGGGTCCCATATAGTGCAACGATTACAGCAAAAATTATGCTTGAAAATATGATAAAAATCTTTTAAAATGACATATACAGTAACGCAGATTGATTTGGATTGAATATACACTTGCATTTGGAGTCAACAAGAACTTAATTTGGTTTATTTTTAGTATTTTTGCAAAAAAATAATCATTTACATATCAGTTTTAATTCAAAAAAATGTGGCATACTTTTAAACTTCTTAAATGCTCTAAATTTCATCATTGATAAGTTTGACAATCAATGTTTACTTTTTTACAGACCTATTTAATGTTTTATTAAACTGAAGGCATATTTTTTATTTTTTTATGCTATAGACAAATTTTGAAAATTAGTTTATATGGTTTGGTGTGCCTACAGTTATGGCTTAGTCACTAAGTTGCAAAAAGTGAAATACACTAAGTTAGTGTGTTTCATTTTAATTTTTCTTTTTCAAGCAAATCTCAATGTCACTTAACAAAATATGGTAAGGTTTTACTAAGTAACACTGCCATATCTAAACTTTACATATTATTTATAAATACGTAAATGTTTTACTTTTTCTATAAGTTATATAATTAACAATATAATACTTATATTATAAATATTGTAACTGATATTATAAGTTATAATATAAGGTTTTATATGAAAAAATGTTTAAATTATTTATATTGTAAACTATTTGTAAATAATAGTAAGTAATGACAAAAATTATTTGGTGTTTTAACGTTTAACTTTGTCTTTAATAATTAACGTTTAACTTTGTCTGTAATAATAAAATAATTATCACATTTTGTTTAAACATATTTATTTATCAAATACATTTTTAACATACTTTAAATTATAAAAGTGTATATATTTTAATAGCAATAGTCAGACATGTGTTTAAGAAACAATTTGGCCAGTCTAAAAGACGGAAATGTTTTGTTTTAAGGTTTAAGATGTTTTTTAATTAATTTTTACAGGATGTTATATAACTTTTTTAGAATATGTTGTGAAATAAAATAAATATACAATCATAAAATGCTACTCAAGTGCAATTTAAAATTGAAAATGAGTGGGTCAGAAGCCAAGGGGTACAAGTGACAATTTTACCAAAATTAAGTTAAGTATAGAATTTGATAGAAGAAGCAAACAAAATTGTTGGTGGCCAAGGGATACAAGTGAATCTCTGCCCTGTGCTGCTTTCTACTGGAAAAACATAACAACAGCTGAGTATATTTAACAAAAATACTTTAACTTTAAACAGCTGTATTTCAAAACTATAAAAATGTCACTTGTACCCCTTGGTTTCTGACCCACTCAAATGTAGTTTTGATACTAAATATTGCAAAAACTGAATGTTTGAATAATCATGAATGTTTTGTATTTTTCACTTGCTATAGTAAGTCAATTTCATTGCGTCATTATATGATATCATATAGTCATATATAATATGTTTATTTACAATATAAAAAAGATATCATTTTTTTTTGGTAATACATTTTTTATTTATGTTATTTTTGTACTTTTTAACTTTATTAAATTTATTAAAGAGGTTCAATAGTATTTATGTTTTGATTTTATAGTTGCTTTGTGTTGATTTATGAATAACAACAGAAAATACATTACTGCAACAAATTTTAGTTTTTTACACATAAAAGTTATGAAAAATCTCCTATGAAATGATTTATTCAAATCTAGTAAGTTTACACTTAATCTGACAACATTATTTTGAATATTTTTGTTTCAGAAAGTTTAGGAAAGTTTTACTTTCCCCGAGTTTTAATATCTCAAACTATTAGTGTACAGAATTTGATAAAATAAATAAAATAATTTCTGTATATTAAAAATATATAGATTTTGCAAAATATACAGGTTTTTCTATTATTGACTTGGGCTTCTGTGAATGGATAAGTTCTAAGTTATCTATGTATAATGATTTTTTAAACCAATTAATTAGGGTGTTGCATATTTTTTAGAATCTGCTGTGAAATAAATTTAATATATAAACATAAAATGTAGCTCTAAGACAACATGAAATTAAACAATAAATTTTGGTCCATGATAATTGAAATACGTTATGTTTGACTAATCATGAATATAACTATTATATATATTAATGTAAGTACTTTACGCTTGTTTATATTTGTAAATTTTCATTGTGAAAATAATTTTAATACAAAATTTATTGTGTTCAAAACTACAATTGTTTTAAATTTTTTTCAATGTATTAAATTGCAGCAAATAATTATTTTCAAATAGTAATATAACCTAAAATGATCATTGTTTAATTAGGTGGAGAGGTTAAGACCATCGCTCTTGACATTTCTAAAGCCTTTGATAAAGTTTGGCATGCTGGTCTTCTTCATAAGCTTTCTTCTTGCAGTGTATCTGGTAACATCTTTAAGATCATTGAATCCTTTCTAACCAATCGTAGTATAAAAGTTGTCTTCAATGGACAGCACTCTTCTTCATATCCTGAAATTACATATATTCTTCATATCTGTAATTTCAGGTGCTCCTCAAGGTTCTATCCTTGGCCCTAGACTCTTAAATTTACATTAATTATCTTCCAGATATCTTCACATCTAAGGTGGGTTTGTTCGCTGATGATACTACTGTTTATTCTTGTCTTGATAAGAAACCAAATATGAGCTTGAAAAGGATCTCATTTCTGCTACAGCATGGGGCTCACAGTGGCTGGTGAACTTTAATTCAGATAAAACTCAGGTTTTTTTTCAGCCAATCGTTATCGCAATAATTTAGACCTTCCTATATTTATGAACGGTAATGTACTTGATGAGTCATCCCTTCATCTTCTAGGATTAACTCTTCTGATCTTTCTTGGAAACCTTATATCAAATCTGTTGCAAAATTAGTATCTGCTAAAGTTGCATCTCTATATCGAGCTTGACACTTTCTTACTCTGGATTCTATTCTCTATTTCTATAAATCTCAAATCTGGCCTTGTATGGAATACTGTTGCCATATATGGGGCAGATCTTCTAATGATGCTCTTTCTCTTTTAGACAAGGTGCAAACATAGTTGGACCTGCTCTTGCAGCCAACATTCAACTTTTATCACATCGTTGTAATGTTGCTTCTCTTTCTCTTTTCTACAAATAATATAATGGGTACTGCTCCAAAAAGCTAGCGTTTCTTGTGCCATCTACTAAAATTCATTCTTTTGTTACTCATCATTTAATTAGGTCTCATCCTTTTTCTATTACTGTTCCTAAGTGCTCCAAAAACTCTTATTCGTCTATTTTTTTTCTTCGAACTTCAGTTCTTTGGAATTCGCTTCCTTCATCTTGCTTTCTAGATTCATATAATTTGCCATCTTTTATGTTGTCTGTCAATCGGTATCTTGCTCTACAATCTTCATCTTTTCACTTCCAGAAACTTCCAACACTAACTAGTGGTTGCTTTTAGCCTTGTTGGAAGCGAAGATGTGTTTTTTTTTTAAAAAAAAAATACAATCTAAATGTTAGTGATATTGGTTATTTTTGCATTTATTAAATTATATAAAAGATAATAAACCCTCACCAACTGATTAAAGAGTTTGATGTCAGGTTAACTTAAGTCAAGACTTTAAATTTTAAATGCTAACATATTAGTCATGTTATATTATTGTTGTTTACAAGTCTATTTATGTAATACCTATTTAATAACATCAAACATTTACCGTGAAATAACATTGTTTTAGATTCCCTGCAAGATGCCTGTTAAAAAGAAAAACTGAAGAAACTCTAAAACTAGATGATGGCAACTGAAGAAGCCTCTACTTCAATCTGGCTATTGTTATAACACGTTTATCGATTTATATACTGTATTGAGTTAGCTTGTGATTTGTACGTGTGTTTTTGTTTGCCTAGTGTTAGTTAGTTATATGCAAGATACGACATGGTATGGCACACTGCATGGTATGCCCTAAATAATACTATCAATAAATATTTTTATCTATACTTTGTAAATATATATGCTATAAATTATTATGTTATTTAAATGTTTATTTTTAATTTATAAAATTAGTGTAAAAGTGGATGAAAGCACTAAAGAAGCGTAACGATAAACTTTATGGTGGCGATATGAGGAGAACTAATGTGGCAGTATACTACTATCGTAGAACAGTTTTGCATCAAATCATTGTATAATTTTTTGTTGCTTTAAATATTATGAAATTCAAATATGTTTTTTCAATTGAATTGCAAAAGGTATGTCAGACCAAATATTCGTTTGCCTTATACATTTTATTACCCTGGCAGCGAATTTAATATAGATAAACCTTTACTTTTTAATTTTATATAAAAAATGCGACGCGTTTTAATCAAAAAATTGTCACATTATTTCGCAGATTCGAGATACAAAAAATCTGAACTATAAAAAATTGAGAAAACCCGCGGTAAATGAAAAAAATATCTGGGTTCAATATATTGAACTTAATATATTAGGTTCAATATATTGAAGCCAGATTTTTTTCCCAGTTGAGTCTCAGCCGGGACCCAGTTGGAATTGTTAACTGGGTCTTGATCTTTCTTTAGGCACAGATTGTTTGCCTCCCACTTTTGTAAAAGTTTGAGGCCGTTTTCCACAAGACGAAATATTCGCGCGAAGCGAATTTTTCGTCTTGTGGAAACCAAAAATGTTTAATCTGCGCATGCTTATCGACGAAAAAATTCGCTTCGCGCGAATATTTCGTCTTGTGGAAAACGGCCTTTAAGGCAAGACGAAATATTCGTGCGAAAGGAATTTTTTCGCTACGACGAAACGCTGTTTTAATTTCCACTTACTTTCTTTCGCGCTACTTTTTTTCGTTGTAAACAATAAAAATGGCAGCCATAAGTTTACGCTGTATGTTTAACTAAAGACAGTTATTACTTTTTTAGCATACTTTCTACTTTGAAGCATGTGAAAATTTCTTTCCGTGAATTAATAATAACATTTCTGTCTTTATATGTAAGACGTGATATCATTTTGTAATATAATCATTTGATAAAAGGTTTTTTCTACAAGAAAGTGTAAGAAAATAAATGCTAAACTCTGATATGATCATTTCTATTAAAAACTGTTACTGCAAAAACGAACAGCAGGTTTAACTCTATTTAGTGTTTTACACAAAAAGGTTTATCTTCGTGTGGCCACTTGAAGATAAACACTCTTATGAAGTGTAACTTTCGTAATTGACAGTGTGAAAATTTATATTTGTAAACTCTCGATTTAGTTTTACATATAGGTCTTGTCATTTTTTTTATATAAATCTTGCTCCTTATTTGATGAATTTACTCATGCTTGCCAATTTTTAGAGTAAGTTCATATAAAATTAATAATAACGCCAGGTTAAGAATTTTCTTTTTTGTTACTTTAAAAACAACATGATTTCGCTTTTTTTACTGTTGACATCACGTGATATAATATTCAAAACTTGATTAGTTTTCGCTTATGGTGATTCGCAAAAAGTCGAAATGAATCCGATATTTTTTTTCGCTGCAGCGTGAAAAAAAATCAGAATAATTACCAAAAATGTTTATTCTGCGCATGCTTATCGACGAAAAAATTCGCTTCGCGTCTTGTGGAAAACGGCCTTAATTTATTTATTTTTTTTATCTTATCTTTGTTAAATGCTTTTTTAAGTTTCTGACGACAAGATCCTTACGATCTTTTTTCAGATACCTTGTTTATGTTTGTTATGTTTTATGCCATTGTAAGTTTATATTATTATTTTTATTATGGGTTGTACAAAGATTAATAAATGTGAACTAAAAAAAAAATATATGTATATATATATATATATATATATATATATATATATATATATATATATATATATATATATATATATATATATATATATATATATATATATATATATATATTATGCTATTTATAATTACACGTATATATGTATTAAAAAACACCTAAAGACACAACAACTCTTAGGCATTTTAAAGTAATTAATGGCATAAAGCTATCGTCTGCGTTTCAGAACGAAAGTTTATTTTTCCCCAACTAAAATGGTAGCTCTTCGCGGCAAAGATTATGATGTATTTCCGACTGCGAGGATGGAAAGCAATACCGATTTATTTGTTTTATTATAATTACTTTATTGTTATTACTTTTATTATTACTATTGTTGTTATTTATTATTATTGTTATTATTATGACTATCATTAGTTGTTAATATTATTTGTATATATATAAATTATTTTTTTCAGGTATTTTTTTTTTTTTTTTTTTTTTTTTTTTTTTTCAGTTTACAATTATTAATCATAGTATAACAAAATAACAATATATAAACTTGGTATCTGAAAGAAGATCCAAATGATCTTGTCGCCAGAACCATATAAAAGATATAATACGTGTATATATAATAAAATAAAATATAATTGATCAAATAACTAATAACAACGTAGAAGAAACAAAAACTGAAAATAATTTTACAAATTATCCAGAGTAAAAAAAAAAAAATTTTACATTTCAAAAATATTTATATATATTGCCAGTAGAAAGAATATAGTTTTTTAATTTAGTTTTAAAAACGGAAAACGAAATCGGCAAATCAAAATTTGGAACAACAATTTTGTTCCATAAATACGGTGCTCTATAGTATATTTACTTGAGATTAGTATTTCAAAACTATTTGTAAATAGCCGTGAAAATTTATTTTCAGAATATATGAAAATATACATATTTTGTAAAATCTCATGGTAATTATATATTTTATAATATGTAATTATGGTAACTATTCTAAAAACTTTTAAATTTTTAATGTAGCCAAAAAAATTGTTTATATACAGAATTGTGACTAAATTTTTATACCTGATGTCAATTGATATTGATAAAACATGTTGTCAAAAAGTTTTTAAAAAATTGTTATTTATTTAAAATTTATATATATATATATATATATATATATATATATATATATATATATATATATATATATATATATATATATATATATATATATATATATATATATATATATATATATATATATATATATTACTATAACTGAAATACAATTGTAGTAAAACAATCATCTGACTGTTAATAACTTTACATGAACCAATACAGAGAAACAACTCTACGAAACATGCAATAATTCATCTTACTCGAAGCATAAATGAATCATTTGAAAATTTAGAATTTACTTTAAGAGTGTTTTTAGACTTATATAAGGCGTTTGACACAATTGACCATTAAATACTTTTTTAAAAACTTGAATGTTATGATATTACTGCAAAAGCTTTAATGTAACTTAAAAGTTATCTAAAAAAATCGCAAGCAATATGTCCAAAAAAGGATCTTCTATTCCTTACTTTCTAAATATAATCTATGGAGTTCCACAAGGATCTATAGAAAAACCCCTATTATTTCTAGTTTATGTAAATGATTTTTTATAAAGCCTCAAAATTAACAAGAATCATGTTTGCTGATGATACTAACCTCTTCTTGTTATGTAATAATATCAATAAATTTTTTAATGATATGAATATTGAGTTAGCAAAAATCTCTAATTTGTTTAAATCAAATAAACTATCAATATTGAAAAGACTTAATGGTCTCACTTATATCCAGCATTTAAAAAACGTTTACTCCCAAGTGATATGCCACAACTTTATACTTATAATATTCAAACAAAAAGAATCTCAAAAAAAATCACATCATAAACTTATGTAGTAAAAGTTTTGAATAAATCAACTTTATTACTCTTTTATACACGTCATATTAATTATGTTAATATTGCGTTGGGAAGAGATTACAAAAGTTATTTGAAACCACTTTGTTATCAAAAGAAGTACATTGTACAACTTATAAATTTCAAAGATCATCTTACTCAAAGCCTCTTTTAATTAACATGAATATTCTTGACATGTATCAACTTATGTTCAAGTATAAAACAACTTTTCTCCATCCTCCTTTCTTGATTTATATTCTTTAAAAATATATATTTATATATTCTTTAATAAGTTATAATTCTATTAAACAAACAATTATCCAAACAAACTTTGGAAAACCTGTGTTTCATTTCGTGGAGCTTTCTCATGGAACAATATTGCGTTAAAAATTACATACTTTAGTTAGTTTTTGATCTTTATTTATACTTGTATGATTAACCATGTATATATATTTCTTATATTGTATATGTACTAGGAACTCTCTAAATTGTAAAAAAAATAAATAAAACGACGTATGTTTGTGTGTCTGTGTGTGTATGCTTGTGTATGTATATGTGTATGTATGTGTTTATATGCATATGGATATATATATATATATGTGTGTGTGTGTGTGTGTGTGTGTATGTATATGTGTGTATATGCGTGTATGTATGCATGTATGTACGAATGTATGTATGTATGTATGTATGTATGTATGTATGTATGTATGTATGTATGTATGTATGTATGTATGTATGTATGTATGTATGTATGTATGTATGTATGTATGTATGAATGTATGTATGTTTGTATGTATGTATGTATGTATGTATGTATGTATGTATGTATGTATGTATGTATGTATGTATGTATGTATGTATGTATGTATGTATGTATGTATGTATGTATGTATGTATGTATGTATGTATGTATGGTATGTATGTATGTATGCATATGGACATAAAATTACATTACAAGTATTACTATAAGACAAAAAATATCATCCTAATTATTTATACTTTATTGTTGACCTTGTACATATACTTTATAGAAAAAAAAAGAAAACATGCAACTCATGGAAAAATTAGTCTTAAATAAGAAAATGAAGTAGAAAAACACAATAGAAATATCAAATAATAATCATTGAATGAAGATTACTTGACTATATATTTTGATTTTGAGAAACTGAAAATAATATGAAAATCACAGATAAAAGTTGCGCAAGACAGTTGTTTGGAAGCATATGTAATTTGTTGCAAGCACCTTTAAGCAAGTAACTTAAAGCTATAACAAAAGAAATGCTAAGTTTCAACAGCGGCTTTCTGAGATAAGACCTTGCGGTCTTCTTAGAGTGTCCGCATTCTTTATATTTATTCTTTACTTTTTCAAGGGTAATTATTTTCTTTTATATTGGTATCTTAAACATGTGTATTTCAAATCATCTAGTGAAGAAAAAATAAATAAATAAAAAAGAAGAAGAATGTCTAGTTCTGCTCAATAAATAATAGCTTCTTTACCAGCAATTCTCT